GTGTATTTATTTTATTTTGGGGCTAAAAAATGATCCAGATTTCATGAAATTCACACATAAATATTCGGTGGTTTTGAAATACTGCTAGTAGATACAGTATACTAATGCTGTACAGCTGCATATTTGCACATGTGTACATGTGTTTCCTCTGTATATAATTTAAGTTCGATGAAGGACATTTTCTATTATGTTTCAAGATTTCTTAAAAACAATATAAGGTGCTTTGGACTGCTGCTCCTGCCAGAATATATTTGTTCTCATTGGTGAACTGCAAAAAGGCTGATATTTCTTCAAAGTCAGAACAGATTCCATTTGACAAGAAAACACAACCTGCTTTTCCCTATAATGAAGAAAGCAAAAGCCCTGACAGAAATACTTACAGTGTCTGTGAAAAGATGATCTGACACAATAGAAATTCTGTTCCAAGTTTTCTCTCTTATTTCTCATTCTTAACAACCCATTGTGTCAGATTTAGCTCAGTTTCTATGGCTAGTGCTGCCTCTGCCTTGCTTTCTTCAACAAATGACATGCTCTTTAGTGCTGTCTGTTACTCTGTTGTCCTTGTAGGATGTTTCTAATCTTGCTCCACTCACATACTTTGGTCTGGAATGCCATGAACACAAACAAACCGAGTAAAATATCCCAGTGCTGTTGGACTAAATATCAGCACTGTTTGAAGGCTAATCAGCCAGTGGCATCAAGAACTGGAACTAACTGCAGTATAATGAATATTATTCTATACAAATGTTGAAACATACCAGTAGTGAGTGAATGCTCGTTTACACAGGACTTCAATAGAGAGCTTATGCCTGAAAATGTGGCAGGTGACAACAGTTGCTAAGGAAGGATTGGTCAGTATTGTTTTTAAGGCAGTCTGGTCAATTCAGCTACATCAGTGAGTATAGGTTGTTGCTCTCCATGGTACTGAACTCCAATTAAGGTTGGAATACACTATATGACTTTTCAATTAGGAACAGATTTTAAACCACAAGGCATCATACATTTACTGACTTGTTACTTACTGTAAATGGTTACAAAGGAAAACTAGGCATAATACACTGAATGACTGAGGATCACACGCTTATCAGACTTTCAAGTCCTTCCAAACACAACAAACTCACACAGAAGCATGTGCCATATCTCTAGGAGATGCATGACAACAGAAAACAATTTGCTGCATCCAAAATTAAATACTTCCTTACTGTACAGTATGCAAAAAGCAGTGCATGCTACATGACTTTTTACCAGATCTTTGCCCTGATTTACAGTCTGAACAAGTTGATGCTAGTTGCCAAAAGTCAGAGCCAGTCTAGATTTGAGCTGACACAGTAATGTATGACGCATTTTATGAATATGAATTCAAACATGTTTGATATTTTGAGCTGATTTTTAAAACACTTCTTGTTTTCATTTGTCATGCATCTCCAAGGTACGTGTTTCTGCATGAGTTTGTTGCGATTGGAATGACTTTTATGTCTGTGTAATGTAGTGCATGATCCTCAGTCGTTTAGTGTATGATGCCAAGTTTTTTTCTCTGAAATTATTTACAAACTCTGAAACTATTTTTCTGAACACATTGCGGAGACTGACACAGAAGAGAAGTAATTGGTTAATCAAGTCATTGGTTTGTTTTCTTTGCACACAAAAAGTATTCACATAACTTCATAACATTATGGTTGAGCCTTGAGGTTTTAACAATGTACTTACTACCTTTCTGGGCCTTGAACGTGTCAGTTGCGTTGCTGTCTATGCAGGGTCAGAAAGCTCTCGGATTTCATCAGAAATATCTTAATTTGTGTTCTGAAGATGAATGAAGGTCTTACATGTTTGGAACAACATGAGGGTGAGTAATTAATGACAGAATTTACAATTCGGGGTGAACTATCCCTTGGCAAAAGCTGTGTAGCGGTCCACATCTTCACCTCTCCTACTGAAGTGAGATGAAAATCAGAGGTCAGATCTTTAATGCATATTCACACTGTTTCTTTGATCATTTAAAAACGAAATAGTATTTATGATTTATAATCTTTCACTGAGGCCCATCTTGCAGTGTTTTATTCCAGCAGGAGGTGGCGCCCTGTTCCACCAGTCGCTGTTCTTGTCATTTGTTCACTGTGCACCTCTCACTGTGTCACAATATGCTGTTCAAAGGTTTGTCTCTCTTTACAGCACAGTAGGTCAGCCGCTCTGGTATTCCAGTACCAAACCTGTCAGCGGCAGATGGCCGGCATCGCTCTGAGACATTTTCACAAATGTCAAGGTATTCAAGTCAAGTCATATTTATTTAGTGCTTTATACAACAGACATTTTCAAAGAAGCTTTGCAGTAATAAACAGCAAAATAAGTTGATGTTGCAATATCCATCAGTTATGAAACATTAAATTTAAGCTGTCAAGCAGCTCAACAGAAGACAGTAGTCTCATTATTCAGCTCAATTTGGTTCAGTGTTAATTCATTTCAGCTCAATAACTGTGTCACCGTTGCAAAGTTATGAAACAAATCCAATTCAGCTATAAGCAGCTCTGCAGAAGACAATAGTGTCAATAATCCGCTCAATTTAGATTTGAAACAAGAAAATAAAAATACATAGAAGCTGTTTTGGTTCATTTGTAAATGAATAGTTCATCCAAACGTGACAATCATCTTCCTCACTCACATGTTTTTCTAAACTCATATGACTTACTTTCACCCATGGAACACAGAAGATAATTAGGCACAATGTTTATGCCGAGTAAAATCAAGAGTGAGCCCTGTTAAGCTTGGAGCTATGACAGAAGCATCATATTACAGAAGTAAAATGGGTCCTGAACTGTCATCTTAACATCTAGTGCAAGAATCTCCAACCCTGCTCCTGCAGATTTCAGCTCCAACCCCAATCAAACACACCTGAAGCAGCTATTCAAGGTGTTCAGGGCTACTTGATAAGAAGTGTTGGAACTGAAGTCCCCAAATCTCAATCCAATTGAGCATCTATGGGATGTATTTGACCAACAAATCCATGGGGGCCCCACCACAAAACCTGCAGGACTTAAAGGATCTGCTGCTAATTTCTGCTAACTGTCTTGGTGCCAGAAACCACAGGACATATTCAGAGGTCTTGCGGAGTCCATGCCTCAGTGCACCAGAGATGATCTGGCACAATATATTACACAATATATTAGGCAGGTGGTTTTGATGTTGTAGAGAGTGGGAGACGCCAATAGAAATGCAGTACGGCAGTGCAAACCTGAAGTGAAGCATACCAGATAACACATTCCCCTCTGAAGTGCCCCTTTAAAAAGTTTCTCACATTATTCACATTCAGTTGAATCAATGTACTCACTGATGTACTGTACATGTGGAAGAACAAAGTCTCTCTAGAAGAACAGACGGCTTATTTCTTTTGAATGGAGCATTTGTCAAATCCAGACAGCTCAAGTACTGTGTTTCTCTCCTCAGTTTGCCATCTGCACTTCAGTCTATATATTTTAGATCAGCTGTTAACAAATGATAAAAAGAAATAAAGTGGAAAAATCCCTTGATTCAAAAGCTTGATAAAAGGTCACCAGTTTCCACTGAGCACCTTTTGGCATTTTATTAAAATTTTTTGTAAGTTTCTCCCCCCCCCTCTTGACCTAGTTTGCCAGCTGTTTTCCTTGTCTTGTCTTGTTCTAGAACTTACCCACTTCAGATTTCTCAGTGTTTGGCACGGAAGTCTCAGCCGCGTTTGATCAATGAAAGTCAATGATCCTGTCTATCGTGTCATGTGTGTCGTCTCTCAGCAGCATGACAGCCAGCTCTCCAT